CGTGGTAGGTTACTAAATGCTGTAAAGAGTTTTTATGAGGAAAGTGAGGCTCAGGTTAGGGTGTGTAGAAGAGAGGGAGACTACTTCCCAGTAAAAGTAGGTCTTAGACAGGGATGTGTAATGTCACCATGGTTGTTTAATATATTTAAAGATGGGGTTTTAGAAGAAGTAAATGCTAAGGTGTTTGGGAGAGGGGTGGGATTAAATTATGGGGAATCAAATACAAAATGGGAATTGACACAGTTGCTTTTTGCTGATGATACTGTGCTTATGTAAGATTCTAAAGAAAAATTGCAAAGGTTAGTGGATGAGTTTGGGAGTGTGTAAAGGTAGAAAGTTGAAAGTGAACATAGAAAAGAGTAAGGTGATGAGGGTATCAAATGATTTAGATAAAGAAAAATTGGATATCAAATTGGGGAGGAGGAGTATGGAAGAAGTGAATGTTTTCAGATACTAATTGGGAATTGATGTGTTGGCAGATGGATTTATGAAGGATGAGGTTAATCATAGAATTGATGAGGGAAAAAAGGTGAGTGGTGCGTTGAAGTATATGTGGAGACAAAAAACGTTATCTATGGAGGCAAAGAAGGGAATGTATGATAGTACAATAGTAGTACCAACACTCTTACATGGGTGTGAAGCTTGGGTTGTGAATGCAGCAGAGAGGAGGCGGTTGGAGGCAGTGGAGATGTCCTGTCTAAGGGCAATGTGTGGTGTAAACATTATGCAGAAAATTCGGAGTGTGGAAATTAGGAGAAGGTGTGGAGTTAATAAAAGTATTAGTCAGAGGGCTGAAGAGGGGTTGCTGAGGTGGTTTGGTCATTTAGAGAGAATGGATCAAAGTAGAATGACATGGAGAGTGTATAAATCTGTAGGGGAAGGAAGGCGGGGTAGAGGTCGTCCTCGAAAAGGTTGGAAGGAAGGGGTAAGGGAGGTTTTGTGGGTGAGGGGCTTGGACTTCCAGCAGGCGTGCATGAGCGTGTTCGTTAGGAGTGAATGGAGACAAATGGTATTTGGGACCTGAGGATCTGTTGAAATGTGAGCAGGGTAATATTTAGTGAAGGGATTCAGGGAAACTGGTTATTTTTATATAACCGGACTTGAGTCTTGGAAATGGGAAGTACAATGCCTGCACTCTAAAGGAGGGGTTCGAGATATTAGCAGTTTGGAGGGATATATTGTGTATCTTTATACGTATATGCTTCTAAACTGTTGTGTTCTGAGCACCTCTGCAAAAACACTGATTATGTGTGAGTGAGGTGAAAGTGTTGAATGATGATGAAAGTATTTTCTTTTTGGGGATTTTCTTTCTTTTTGGGTCACCCTGCCTCGGTGGGAGACGGCCGACTTAAATATATATATATATATATATATATATATATATATAATTATATATATATATATAATATATATAATATATATATAGTATATATATATATATTATATGGTGAGCGTGTTTGATAGGAGTGAATGGGGACAAATGGTTTTTAATACTGACGTGCTGTTGGAGTGTGAGCAAAGTAACATTTATGAAGGGATTCAGGGGAAAAACCCGGCAGGCCGGACTTGAGTCCTGGAGATGGGAAGTACAGTGCCTGCACTCTGAAGGAGGGGTGTTAATGTTGCAGTTTAAAAACTGTAGTGTAAAGCACCCTTCTGGCAAGACAGTGATGGAGTGAATGATGGTGAAAGTTTTTCTTTTTCGGGCCACCCTGCCTTGGTGGGAATCGGCCAGTGTGATAATAAAAAAAAAAAAATAAATATATATTATATATATATATATAAAATATATATATATAATATATATAATATATATATATATATATATATATAATATATATATATATATGATGAAGTAAAGGTTGTGATAAAAGAAAAAGGTAGCTTATGAGAGGTTTTTACAAAGCAGAAGTGTTATAAGAAGAGCAGAGTATATGGAGAGTAAAAGAAAGGTAAAGAGAGTGGTGAGAGAGTGCAAAAGGAGAGCAGATGATAGAGTGGGAGAGGCACTGTCAAGAAATTTTAATGAAAATAAGAAAAAAATTTGAGTGAGTTAAACAAGTTAAGAAAGCCTAGGGAAATATGGATTTGTCAGTTAAAAACAGAGTAGGGGAGTTAGTAGATGGGGAGATGGAGGTATTAGGTAGATGGCGAGAATATTTTGAGAACTTTTAAATGTTAAGGAAGAAACAGAGGCAGTAATTTCATGCACTGGTCAGGAGGTATACCATCTTTTAGGAGTGAAGAAGAGCAGAATGTAAGTGTGGGGGAGGTATGTGAGGCATTACGTAAAATGAAAGGGAGTAAAGCAGCTGGAACTGATGGGATCATGACAGAAATGTTAAAAGCAGGGGGGATATAGTGTTGGAGTGGTTGGTACTTCTGTTTAATAAATGTATGAAAGAGGGGAAGGTACCTAGGGATTGGCGGAGAGCATGTATAGTCCCTTTATATAAAGGGAAAGGGGACAAAAGAGACTGTAAAAATTATAGAGGAATAAGCTACTGAGTATACCAGGAAAAGTGTACGGTAGGGTTATAATTGAAAGAATTAGAGGTAAGACAGAAATGGAGGATTGCGGATGAGCAAGGAGGTTTCAGAGTGGGTAGGGGATGTGTAGATCAAGTGTTTACATTGAAGCATATATGTGAACATTATTTAGATAAAGGTAGGGAAGTTTTTATTGCATTTATGGATTTAAAAAAGGCATATGATAGAGTGGATAGAGGAGCAATGTGGCAGATGTTGCAAGTATATGGAATAGGTGGTAAGTTATTAAATGCTGTAAAGAGTTTTTATGAGGATAGTGAGGCTCAGGTTAGGGTGTGTAGAGAGAGGGAGACTACTTCCCGGTAAAAGTAGTCTTAGACAGGGATGTGTAATGTCACCATGGTTGTTTAATATATTTATAGATGGGGTTGTAAAGGAAGTAAATGCTAGGGTGTTCGGGAGAGGGGTGGGATTAAATTTTGGGGAATCAAATTCAAAATGGGAATTGACACAGTTACTTTTTGCTGATGATACTGTGCTTATGGGAGATTCTAAAAAAATTGCAAAGGTTAGTGGATGAGTTTGGGAATGTGTGTAAAGGTAGAAAGTTGAAAGTGAACATAGAAAAGAGTAAGGTGATGAGGGTGTCAAATGATTTAGATAAAGAAAAATTGGATATCAAATTGGGGAGGAGGAGTATGGAAGAAGTGAATGTTTTCAGATACTTGGGAGTTGACGTGTCGGCGGATGGATTTATGAAGGATGAGGTTAATCATAGAATTGATGAGGGAAAAAAGGTGAGTGGTGCGTTGAGGTATATGTGGAGTCAAAAAAACGTTATCTATGGAGGCAAAGAAGGGAGTGTATGAAAGTATAGTAGTACCAACACTCTTATATGGTGTGAAGCTTGGGTGGTAAATGCAGCAGCGAGGAGACGGTTGGAGGCAGTGGAGATGTCCTGTTTAAGGGCAATGTGTGGTGTAAAATATTATGCAGAAAATTCGGAGTGTGGAAATTAGGAGAAGGTGTGGAGTTAATAAAAGTATTAGTCAGAGGGCAGAAGAGGGGTTGTTGAGGTGGTTTGGTCATTTAGAGAGAATGGATCAAAGTAGAATGACATGGAAAGTATATAAATCTATAGGGGAAGGAAGGCGGGGTAGGGGTCGTCCTCGAAAGGGTTGGAGAGAGGGGGTAAAGGAGGTTTTGTGGGCAAGGGGCTTGGACTTCCAGCAAGCGTGCGTGAGTGTGTTTAGATAGGAGTGAATGGAGACGAATGGTACTTGGGACCTGACGATCTGTTGGAGTGTGAGCAGGTAATATTTAGTGAAGGGATTCAGGGAAACCGGTTTATTTTCATATAGTCGGACTTGAGTCCTGGAAATGGGAAGTACAATGCCTGCACTTTAAAGGAGGGGTTTTGGGATATTGGCAGTTTGGAGGGATATGTTGTGTGTCTTTATATGTGTATGCTTCTGGACTGTTGTATTCTGAGCACCTCTGCAAAAACAGTGATAATGTGCGAGTGTGGTGAAAGTGTTGAATGATGATGAAAGTATTTTCTTTTTGGGGATTTTCTTTCTTTTTTTTTTTTTTGGGTCACCCTGCCTCGGTGGGAAACGGCCGACTTGTTGAAAAAAAAAAAAAAAAAAATGTACATGTACTATACAGTAGGTTAAATATATATATCTTCTTTCAACAAACTGGCCGTATCCCACCAAAGCAGGGTGGCCCAAAAAGAAAAACAAAAGTTTCTCGTTTTAAATTTAATAATGCATATATACAAGAGAAGGGAGTTACTAGCCCTTTGCTTCTGGCATTTAAGTCACCTCTTACAATATGCATGGCTTACAGAGGATGAATGCTGGGGCATACGAAAACCGGGGTTCCACTGTACTTTATTTTATTTTATTATTACAGCATTAATATCACTGTAAAAAGCATAAATACATAAGTCATGAAAAATATGATCAAATTTGATGGACACAGAAGGGCATCATTCTCCTGGCTACCATGAAGGAGGGGGGGGTGGCCAAGGCCTCCAAATATATATAACAACTCAGCTTCAAAACAATCAGAATGGCATCTCTAAGTCCCTCCTACACAGATATTCTGTGGCTGCCCCTCATACCACAGCAAATTTCTTTATACATTGACTGGTACAATTATGGAGTAAGAATTAGGATTAGTCTGCCCGAAATGCCTAGGCATGCTAGTGGCCTTTTTTGTAATTAATATTTTATAACATGTAAACCACACATTGTAAGCTTTGCAAGGAAATAAACATTTTCATTTTCATTCATCTAGATATGAATTTAAATAATATGGAATTGCTTATTAATATTCATTGCACCACCACTTTATAGGTAAACAAAAATATTACAGCAGACAACACTGAAATTCCTCACTTCAGTGTACATTTATAATACAGAACTACACTGTTGACTATTATTGTATTAGAAACTTTCCTTAACACAATGATGAAAACAAAAGTAGACCTAACAAAAACATACCTGATCTCGTGGTCCAGTGGCCTTTGTTGGCTGATAGGAAGAAAAACGTAAGTCATGATAACCACATATAACATGAAAGGATACAAGAAAATAGATAATGATCTCTTAACATCATCAGTCTAGAACAAGGGGCCACAAGAGTAAACTGGGAAAAAAAACTGTCAAAAAAAAAAAAAAGATACTAGAAATCTTATGCCCACACATACACAGTGGTAGAACACTGAGAAAAAGATTAATAAATTTGTAAGTAAGAATGGTCCTTAGTAAAACCATGGTGATTCACTGGTGAAATTACAGTATATCTTCTAAGGTGGCTTCAAATTGCCTCTGCAACTTCAGATTCCATCAACTTTTGCACAATTAAAATTAGTAAACATGAGGTGATAACTGCAATAACTATTCGAAATTTTAGCAAAATTGAAGCTAGGACAACACAAGCATAACTCTGCTCCTATAACTATGAACAATGAAATCAGAAGTGCCATGGCCACCATGGTAAGAGGACTCGCTATTGTAGAGGACACAGTGAAATCATTGGTACATTTGCTTTGTAAGTGTTAGGTGTGATTTACATTGTTGTATCTATTATATGCCATCATATAAAGTGGAAAACAGTGATGAATATGCTAGCAAGGTTCTTTATTCACACATACAAACACCAGTGAGAAGACAGATAAATATTAATTTAAGTTAATAGTATTAATGTCTTACTGTAGCGTTACATCTTAAACATAATTAACATGGGCATACAACAGTGGCTAGCTGGCTTAATAGGGTTGCTGAGGTGATGTAATTTTGAAGGAAAATTACATCACAACTAACCCACAAATTAGAAATGAAAACTGGTCAGTGTTTTTGTTTATAATGGATTACTAAAAACTCTCAATCCTTTTCTTGGCTTTTTTTTTTTCTTCTTCTACACACCTTTGTCATTCTCAGGACTTCACTGAAAATGCACTGCCACACACTAGATGTAAGATGAAAGGTGTTTAAAAAGTCTGTTTTTTTACTAGCGTTCCTCTTAATGATACAGTATTCTCACTGCTCTTAAAGAGAAGATTAATGAGAGACTACCTCATCTCTGTATTCCTACTTATATCTTTCTTAATCCTACCCTCCTCTATGGGATTGTAATTTGTTCTCTTTCCAGGAAATATACTATGTACTTGAGTTCTCAAACTTTTTCCTACTATGTGGACTCTCATTCCCTGGACTTATTAACCTCCATATGGAATGCTTTTAAAAGGTTCTATTTCTCGCTAGTGGAGTGCATGTCTTTCTCTCTGGCTTCACTATGTACATGATGTTGGTCACTTTCTGGTCTTACGAGTCTAAAGTCTCTTCCAACCGTTTATTATTGCTCTTAACAATCTTGCTCCATTTATCAAATTTCAAGCTGAAAGAGAATCTAACTCTATTACTTTTTCCTTGATGTTCATGTCTGCCACTGTGACTGGTTTTTCTTTTTCTTTTTTACATTTATTGCAAATTTATGCACAGTGGCATGCACTCTCATTACTTGTCCTACCATGTGCAGCCTGTTAAGAGAATTGTTCTAGCTTCAATCTTCTCCATGTAGGCCCCATTTGTGATACTGTACAATATTTTCTAAACTGTGAAATTGCAATTCTTCATAATTCATTCTCCCATCCTAGCTATCTTCACAATATCATAAACCATTCATACTATAATATTAAAAGGACTTCTTTTCTCTGACATATACTTCTCTAGTTAAGACATCTGCTCCTTGATTTCCATGTACAGTGTATTTCTAATTTACAGAATCCTAATAACACCCTTCCTCTGAATATCAAACTTGCATTTTTTTCAAAGTGATGCATGTGTATGTCCCTTTAATAATTTAAATACTGTATCCCAAAATAATTTCCAACACTAAAAAGTGCAAGATTTTTATTCATTTAATCAATAGGATGTCTGATGTATACACTATAATATAAAATATAAAAAAAATGGAACTGTAGTATAAATTCATGATAACATAAGGTAAAAATGTAAGATAAAATACAGTGGAACTCAGGTTTTCATATTTAATCTGTTCCAGAAAGTCAGTCTAAATCCGAAACGTATGAAAACTGAATTAATATTTCCCATAAGAAATAAGGTAAATACTGTACAATTAATTCGTTCCAGACACCAAAAAATATTAACAAAAACTACATTTTTTAAAGAATAACTATAGTTTTACATACAGAAAACAATGAGAAATACATATAAATGACTAATTTTAATGATAAATGAACATTACATACTTTAATTGAAGACTTTAGCTTCCTTGATTTCTACTTTCTTTGCCAGGATGGAACAGAATGTTGATTTCGACTTCCCATACATCCTGGCAAGCTCAGCTAAACATACGCCACTTTCGTATTTTTCTACAATCTCTTTCTTGAATTCTATCATGTTTCTCACCTTCTTTACCACATTGCTGGCACTAGGAATTTTCTTTGGGCCCATGGCGGCTTTTTTCGCAGTCACAATTAACCCTTTGACTGTCGAGGTTGAATATATATGTCTTACGAGGTACCGTGTTTGACGTATATACATGTATATACTCATAAATTCTAGCGGCTTCAAATCAAGTAGGAGAAAGCTGGTAGGCCCACATGTGAGAGAATGGGTCTGTGTGGTCAGTGTGCACCATATAAAAAAAATCCTGGAGCATGCAGTGCATAATGAGAAAAAAAAACTCCGACCATCTTTTTTAATTAAAATGCCGACTTTGTGGTCTATTTTCGTATAGTATTTATGGTTGTATTCTCGTTTTCTTGGTCTCATTTGATAGAATGGAAAACATATTATGTTAATAGATGTGATTTTGATTGATTTTACTATAAAAAGAACCTGGAAATGGAGCTCAAAGTAGGGGAAATGTTTGATTTTTGCCGATGTTTAAAAGTAAACAAATGATGTCATTGTCCAATAAATGTCCAACTAGCCATTCTAATATGCAGTCATGAATGGGTTGATGTTATTTATACAATTATTACAGTATTGCAGTAGTCTGCATAACAGTAAATCTTCTATTTTTTGTTTGAATAAAAATTCAAAATAGAAAGCAAGAGTAATATCAGAGGGGCTTGGAGACATGACTGATGAACAAAGAAAATGTTATTTTAGAGCCAGGAATGTCTGCATTGTTCATTCTGGACCTTATTTTGAAATTGTCATTTTTTTAATTTTCGTGAAATTGGCCAAATTGCAAATTTCTGACCACGTTATTGGGTAGTTGAAATCGGTAAATGGGCAGTTTCTTGTACTCATTCGATAGAAAAAATGGATTTCTAAAAAAATAATTATGAGTTTGGTCGACTGGAACAATGGAATTACCTGAAAATAGGGCTCAAAGCGGGCGAAATCGCCGATTTGTAAATATCGCCGAGGTTGCTAAATTTGTGATAGCATAATTCCATCAGTTTTCCATCAAATAGATAATTGATATAATGTTTGTTACAATTAGAATATACAAGGAGTAGTGAAAAACTGATAAATCATTCACTTTAGATGAAAGAATAATGACATACTGCTGTACATACAATTTAGATTTTTTTAATAATTGCTTTACATGAATAACAATACAGACAGAGATGATCCTGACACATTTTAAAAGGGATCAAAACTGGGGGGGAAATTACCCTCATTTCCCCCACCTAAAAAACTTTTTCTCGCTGCATTCTTTTTGGGAAAATTAAGAAGCCCCTTTCCACAGAGAGGAAAAAATTTGCAAACTAAAGAAGGGGAGGGGGGGGGGGGGAAAGGCCCTGCTAAACAAAACCTTTTTTAAATTTTATAAGTGAAATTACAAAATTAAAAATACATATTAAATGCTTTAAACAGGATACCCTTAAAACGTAAGTTTTATTTTTTTGGGTTTTTTTTTCTAAAGGGGGAAAATGATCATTAATCATAAAAAATAAAAAAAAAAAATTTTTTAAATTTTAAAAATATGAAATTTTTGCCCTGTTTTTTTTTTGGTTGCAAAAAGCCCCATTTTGCACAAATCTGCCCTTTGGGCATAAACTAAATTAAAAGTCAAAGGAAATACAACGGGCCCTTTTTTTTTTTAACCCTCGCGGGAAAACTCCCCCCCAAGGCGGGGTGCCCTTTAAAAAAAAAACTTTTCACTATCATTCCCCACATCAAGTTTTGTCAGAGGATCCCAAATATAAAAATTTAATGTCCCTCAAAACCCAACCAATTAAAAAAAATTTTTTATTTTTGTTTTTTTTAATAAACACTGGCCAAAATCCCCCCAAAGGGCAGGGGGGGCCCGGCCCGAAAAAAAAAACTTTCACCCATCATTCACTTCCATCACTGTTTGCCAGGGGGGTTTGCTTTACACTACATTTTTTTTAAAACTGAAACTTTAACCCCCCTCCTTCAAGGGGCGGGCATTTTGTTTTCCCCCCAACTCCAGGACCCCGTCCCGGCCCCCGGTTTCCCTAAAATCCCCTTCAAAAAATTTACTTTCTCACACTCCAACAGCACAAAAAGAAAAAAAAAAACCATTTTTTCCCATTTACCCCAAACAAACCGTTTACGCATGCCTGCAGGAAGCCCAAAGGGCCCCTCGCACCAAAACCCCTTTACCCCCTCCACCCAAAACCCTTTCCCTAGGCTAGACCCCTACCCCCCCCCTTTCCTTCCACTACAGACTGATACACTCTTAAAAATCACTCTTTTTCGCTCCTTTTCCTCTACATGCCCCGAACCACCCCAACAAAACCCCTTTCCTTTAAACCCTCCCGGACAAAAAGGTTTTTTGGGAACCCCCCCCACCTCCTCCTAACTTCCAAAAATAAGAATTCTCTGCATTTTAATTTCCCCACACATTCCCTTCCAAAAAGACAACCCCCAAATGCCTCCAGCCCTTTTCCTCGCTGCAACAATTAAACAACCCCTGCTTTTCAACCCAAAAAAAAAGGGTTGGTAAAACTTTAAACCCCAACATTCCCCTCTTTGCCTCCAAGGACAAAGGGTTTTTTTGTCTCCACAGTCACCTAAAAAGCAAA